TATATATATATACATATATATATATATATATGTAAATAATATATATATATGTAAATAATAGGCCCGATGCTCGAAATGACAAGAAATTGAGTTTTTTTCGTTCAACACAGAATCTTAAATCATTGAGAACTATTCAGAACGAAATTCTTTCAAAAGAATAGAATTTTTTCGATTTATCAATATTTTTTATTTGGCTTTAAATTTTTGAGACTCGACTGTTTAATATCTTAGATTTCTCCCAATTTTTTTTTTACAGTGGAGCTAATTTATATAATTAAAATAATAAAGAAACAAATGGAAATTATCATAAGCTCAAATAGAATGGGAATTTTATATGCAAATTTTACAGAAAAGCTAAATTCTATGGGCTCATATACAGCTCTTTGGCATTATTTTATACATTTATAAATAATTAGCCAAGTCAGTCAGTCATAGACCTTTTCACATTGGGCTGACCTGCAGCAGAGATATGAATGAGAATGTATAACGATAAAATGATTTATGACAAACACAACTAAACTCAGACCGTTTTGCATTAGCAGCACAAAGGACGGTCTCAGCCGTTTAGGGGCTTCGTTCGGGTATTAACTAAGCTCTAACAGGCTCGAGTACGTATATATAAAAACAAATGCGGCTTATAAATTGCTGTTGCTGTTGCTGCTGCTGCTCCTGCTGCTCCTGCTGCTGTTGTCGATTATGGCAAATGCCATAAAAGGTGCAAAAATGCCATTCGTAAGCTGCGATAGGAGGAAAAAAGTTGAGGCTAAGCAGGCAAAAGGCGCACGCTCGACGCTGGGCATTAATAAAATAAGGATAATTGGCATAAGCATAATCACGTTTAAGCCAACAGCCAGCGAGCAGCTGAGACGCGCCAAGACAGCAGACAGCCCAACTAGTTGCAATTGCTTTGTGCTCCTTCCATGCAGCGCCACCCTCTCGCTCTCTCTGCCTCTCTCGCTCTCTTTTGTTGCCTGGCAGCAGGCATTTTAATTTGTCTGCCTTTGCCTGCTCCTGCTTCTGCTTCTGCTGCTGCTGCTGCCTTTTATCGCTAGTCAACACGCAGCCTTTTCATGGCAAATTATGGCGTTTAGAGACGTCGTCTTCCACAGCCAAAGCTTCCGCCCGTCTGCCGCAACTGCGCCCAAAGGGCATCGACAGCAGCAGCTGCGGCAGCAGGAGTCGGGGCAGCAGTAACTGCAGGAGTAGCGGCTGTTCGGTTGGTCGCCCGTCTGTGCCGTCTGACTGGCTTCGTGCCTGTCGCTTGTTTCATTTAATGAGTCGCGTCTATGTTTACTTTCTGGCCCCAGACGAGGCACTGCTCGGGGCTAAGGCAACACCAGCCAGCCAGCCAGTCAGCCAGTCAGCCAGCTAGCTTGCAGCTACCGAAAAAGGGGCAAACTGGCATCCGACCAGCCTTTGAAGTAATTATAGCGGCTGATTCAAGTTAATTTTTAAACAATGTCAGCAAGTCACTCGCCTCTCGCACTAATCAAATTTCCAAGACTCTACTGAAAGTTCGTTAAAGCTTAGCCTCGCACAGATTCATACCTAAAGGACACTCTCGTTGGCCTTTCTTTGAGGGCAAACAAAGAGAATGTAAAAGTAAAGCAAAAGGGAAAGCCAAGCGGTTAGCAAAAGTTGGGGAGAGGGAAAATGCAAGAGCTTGAGCTCTCTAAATGTTTATACTACAGTTGGTTAAAAAATATTAAGAAATATTACGAATAAATAGTTGCCATAGAGAATCAAAGAGCTGACCTTAAGAGAAACCTAACGAAATTTGAGACTTTGTAGAATACTTGAATTATAACCATCCGCCAGTCGCTGAACAACTTATCAACCCTTATCTAGTCGTGCATATGCAGACATTTTCATTAATCAAGTCTCCAGTGTTGTAGCTCACACCAACTCTACTCCCCTACTCCCACTACAATTTCCAAACTAATCTATTTCAGCAATTTTAAAGAGTTTGTCAATCAATAATATATACAGATCTTCTAAAAACAAAAAATAAATATTTTTTAATAAATAAAAAATAATAAAAAAAATAAATAAATAAAAAAATAAATAAATAATGATTATATAATTAAATAATAGAAACAAAAAAGATCAAAAATCAATTAAAAAAATAATAATAATAATGTGTGAATATATAATTAAAAATTATAAATTAAAAAAAAAAACACGCAGTCTTATATATAAAATAAATAAAAAATATAAAATCAAATATAATAAAAATAAAAAAAATATATATATATTAAAAATAAAAAAAAAAGATAAAAAATCAATTAAAAATAATAATAAATATATAAAAATTACAAAAAATAAATAAATAAAAATAATAAAAATAAATATTGCAAAAAAAAATAATATTTACAAAATAACCAACATATTTACAAATCTCATATACACAAACTTCCTTAATTACTTGACTAAAATTAAACAAAGTTTCCACAAAAAATTCTTCACTTTTTGCATTATTTGTTTCCCACACTCTAGCTTTAATGTGCACCCTATAAGCAAGCATATCAACTAATGCAAGTCATTTCATATATTCCCTGCTCTCGCATTTTCAGTCCATCAACTGCGGTGACCTGGACAGCTATCCGCTGCTGCAGTACCTGGATCTGTCGTACTCGCACGTGGCGCAGCTGGAGGACGATGCGCTGGGTCGGCTGGAGCTGCTCGAGCTGCTGTTCCTCGATCACAATAGCCTGATGCATGTGCCGAACAGTCTGCCCACCTCGCTGGAGCACCTGTTTCTGCATCACAACAGCATCATGGAGCTGCAGCCGCAGGCATTCGCCGGCCTCAAGAATCTGAAGACCCTGGATCTGTCCAACAATCGTTTGATGTTCCTGCCGGCACTGCCGCTGCCCCAGCTGCTCACGCTCAATCTGCAGTCGGCGGGCATTGAGTCGGTTAGCCAGGCGATTGTGCACACGCTGCCCCAGCTGCGCGATCTCCTGCTGGAGGACAATCCCGTGCGGTGCAGCGATTTGCTGGGCATTGCCGAATGGGCCAGCCCCTGTCGCAGTGTCGATTTGGGCCGCACCGTGGGCCGCATCGATCTGAAGCGACGCTACGTGCAGCTGGCCAACTTTTACGAGAGCTTCAGCCCAGCGTGCGGGGGCGTGGCAAATGAACTGGCCACCGGAGACGAGGAGGCTGTGCAGCAGCTGGCCAAATCAATGCCGCCCACTTGCGGCATAGCAGCGACAACAACAATGCCAGCAACGATGCCAAAAGTGCACAAGTCAAAGGCAGCAGCAACAGCAGCAACAGCAACAACAGCAGCAACACAACCAAATGCAATGCAATCAAGCGGCAACAACATCGCGCTGCTAACCACAAAAACTTTAGGGCCAGCTGAAACGACTTCGTTAGCTCAACTGCAGAGCCAACAAATGCCTGGCATGCCAACAGAAATAACAACAACAACAACAACAGCAGCAGCGACAGCAACAACAATTGCAACAGCCACAGCCATTGGCGTGCCAAGTTTGCAGCGCGCTGCCAAACGCACAAGCATTTTGGCAAGCAGCTCAGCGCCAGCGCCAGCAACAACAACAACAACAACAACAGCAGCAGCAGAAGGAGCGCCGGCCAGACTGGCCCAGCCAACAAACATTAGCAATGTTGCTGCGGTGCCACAAACAATTTTGGCGCTTATAAGCTCTGACAAGGCAAACAAACAAAAACTGGCCAAGAGTGTATTAAAAGAGACAGCAGCAACTACAATAGCAACCACAGCAACTACAACAGCAACAGCAGCAACTACAACAATCATTGCTCAGGAGGCAAAGCCGATGCATAAGCATGCCACGCTGCAGCTGCATATTAAAGATCGCCATCTAATTGGAACGCCGCTGCTGATGCACAAGGGCGACAACCTGCTGATAGATGCGGAGCAATTGCTGCTGCCCGGAACGGCAACTGTGGCGGATGCGGAAACATTGGCTGCCAGCCAGCGGCAGGAAGCGACTGATAAGCGACAAGCGGAAGCAATAAAGGGCGACACAAAGGCGACTGCAGCTCATGCCGAGCAGCAGCAGCAGCTGGAGCTGGAGCAGCAGCTGGAGCATGCCAAGCTGAAGAAGAAGCAGAAGCCCTCGCTGAGCATTAAGAAGATGACCTACAGCACCAAGCATGCAGCAACAACAACAACAACAACAACTGAAGCAACAACAGCAACATCCACGCGACCACAGCATCAACACAGCAGCGTCAACACGCCGAACGCATTTAAGCAGGAGCTGAGCACATTCGCCCAGCTGAAGGCGTTTGTGGAGCTCAAGACGGAAGCCTCCAAGTCCGCCCAGCTGCTGGCCACGCGCCTCCATCCACAGCAGAGCCTGAATGGCAGCCATCCCGGCCTGATGCTGCTGCTCGCCTGCATCCTGGTGATTGTCCTGCTCGCCGGCCTCGCGCACGTCTATCGCTGCGAGCTGCCCTGGCAGCGTGGACCGCGCGCCGGACACCAGCGACCGCATCAGCAGCGCCAGCTCAATGAGAACGACGACGTGCACAGCTTTCTGCATTATCAGGGCTCCGGGCAGACGGATCCGGCACGTCTGAGCGCCTGGCATCACAGCACCAGGCGCGAGGCGCCCTACAGCTCCCCGCTGCACAATCTGCAGGCGCGTGAGCTGCAGCGCGAGCAGCAGAAGTTGCAGTTCTACAGCGCTTCCCTGGCGGACAGCTCAGCCAGCGGCAGTGGCAGTGGCAGTGGCAGTGGCTGCTCCTCCGGCAGCAGTCGCAGCAGTCTGCATTCGCCCAGCAACGAGGACAGCTACTACATAGAGATGGCGCCCAGCAGTCCCATGGCTGCGGCCGGCGGCATGCCCCATCTGCCCATGGAGCTGCTGGGCAACAGCAACAGGAGCAGCAGCAGCAGCTTACATAGAGCTGCCCCACAGCTGGGCAGTGGCCAGACGTCGACGTCGACGTCAGCGTCAACGCTGCGCTCGATGAGCAGCAAGCTGATGGCGCCCAGCACACGCCGGCTGGGCATCTGGTGACAAACCGTTTTTGGACAGCGACAATACGCAACACTCCAGTGAATCAAGGGCAAATAAACAAACAGACACGCACACACACACACATAGAACACATATATACAAATATATATATATAGAAAACATTCTGCATAGTTTTAAGCCACAAAATGAGTCATAAACCAAAGAGGAAGCAGCAGCATAGAAAGAGATATACACGCATACATCTTTATATATATATACTGGCTATTTATTTATATATATCTATGTACACACACACACGTATACATATATATTTATGTTCGCCGAGTCTCGTTTGATTTATGGCTCATCGTGGCCGCACACGTGGCAGGCATCTTAGCGTCTAGGTTAGCAGCAACAATTTGTCATAAAGTTTCGTTACGTATACGCCGCGTGCAGCGGCCAGCAGCCAAATAGCCAAGAGCAGCCAAATAGCCACCGCCAGCTACATTTTATGGGCCATCAGGCAACACCCACCTCACCAGCCCCAGCCCCAGCCCCCGCACTCTGTCGCCCATTCGCAACAAGGCCCTCGATTTGATGTCCATCTTGTGGTTGTATTTGGGTCAGTTTACACCAGGGCTAAAGCCCCAACTTGAGTATCTGTGTGAGCTTGAGTGTGTGTTTCCGTGTGTGTGTGTGTGTGTGTGTGCGTTGGTCAGTTAACTTTATATGTGTGCATAAGTGGCTGTCCGTTGGCCAAGATTAAGTGTTTTGATAGTCATGCATATAAAAATGAAATATATCGATAAAGTATTAAATAACAGTTTAGTTTATGGCCAAAAGTCAGCAGCTACAGGCCCGGCTCGAGCCGTTCCAATCGGCCATAACGAGTTCCGCCTAGAGGAAAAGTCTCAATTTGCTGGTGCTGTTAATTGTGAGCAGATGTCCAGATCAAGCGACAATTTCCATAATTTCACCAAGGACATTTTTATGTGTCTTGGATACCCCCATTTGTAATGTGAGGAGTATCACGGAAGGAAGGGGCTTTCCATTAGTTACCTTTAGGTTCTCTTTATAAATGCATACTAATTTTTGTTTTCTAAAATTTGTGAAAGTATCTATTCTACATGTCTACTGATACTATTAAATATTGAAGTTGATTTTCATACTTTTCAAATAAATATTTGTGCTACAAGGCAAAAATATTCTTTAAATTCACATAGATACTTTTGTACGACCTGAGATACTGCTTCAATTTAAGAAAAGTAGAAAAGTATTATAAAGTATAGTATTTATTTAGTATTGAAAACAAAGACATTTTCATGATTTTATTAAATATTTGTACAATTTTGTATAGTGGCAGATACTTTTCATAATTTTGAGATACTTATTTATACTACAAGATACTTTTAAAAACTGCATACTGATACTTTATAACCCAAGATACCTTTGTACGCCCCGACATACATGTTAATTCTCACAAAATTACAGTTTCATTCATTTGTCATGAAATTTGAAGTTTGAAGTTATTCGTAATTGACTCTCAGATACTTGTTCAATACCTTCAGATACTTTCATTGAACATTTCTCTTTTCATATAAAATCAACGAATTTCGATTTACTTTATATTTATTCGTTAAATTCGAATTCCTCTCAATTCCATTTCTGTATAGGAAATAAACTTCTCAAGGGGCGAAGCAAGCACTTATTGAACTTTAAGAGACGCAACTCTTCTTCTCTTCATCCTTCTATGCTTTGGCATTGCTTCGTGCTCTATATTGGCACTTGAGAAATACTAACTAAGGCTCTGACTAGTGGAGCATGCGGACTAAGTAATTACAAAATGTTGGCAATCCAAGTGGATGGGGGAAAGTGTAAAACGCATTTAGCTTTCACTCGAAATAAAACTCTTGATAGATTTTCATCTTCAGGCAGCGACGCTCTTTGCTAATGGACTTTAAAAGTCAACTGCTTCAGCAGATCTTTAACCCACTTTGAACAATTTAATTAAAATTTCGACTCGACTCGACTCGACTCGACGTGGCTTGGCTCGTCTGGGCTGGACTTGAGCCTTGAGCATCAAGCACACTTGGTCCAGAAAGAAAACTCCTTTAGGATATATTTGATTTCTGTTTTGTATTGACACCCTTAAGAGCTGCCCGGGCAATTGCTTTATACAACATACATACAACCTCGTGCGGCACCCCATTTGCTGTTATTTGGCACTTGTCGATTCAGTCGACAGCCGCCCTCTTAGCCCCAATTTATAAATTGACCAAGAGAGCATATGGTGTAAATCCAGCCAAATGGGCAGACGACTAATCCGGCTCAGCAAATGTGAGATGTTGTAAAACTATTTGAGAGATATGTGAAAAATGCCAAGCAAGTGCGGAGCAAGGAGCACTCACGCCTTGCTCTGGCCTTGCTCTGGCCAGGGCTGGGCCGACATCAAAATAATGTGCCAGCAAATCAAATTACAAGCAACGACTTCATGAGGGAGACTGCGGCAGAAGTGGGCAAGGGGGCGGGAACGGGTTGGGGGTGCAACACAACAATTACATTAAGACACGATAAAAAGTTGTGCAACAATCTTGTGCGAGCCGCAGACGGGGGGCGTGGCGGCAAAACGGGGGAGCGAAAGCCACAGTCATTGCACAGTTTTTCAACTTTTTGTGGCTTTGTAATTGGAATACACAAAGAAGAACAAGAGCCGCAGCAACAGGAAGATAGATAAAGATGCGGATACAAATGTATCTGGGGGTTTGGGCACAGTTTGAGCCACAAGCAGCAGCAGCAGCAGCAGCAACGGCAATGGAAGGCGTTCAAGCGTTTCGTCTCAAGCAATTCAGAAGGATTTATTTTTGGCCACAAAAGCGAAATGTGAAGCAAAGCGGGCTAACAACAATTAAAGTAATGCTGACCAACAAACTACGGACAACGGACTCTGGACTACAGACTACGGACTCTGGACACCGGACTCCGGGCTCCGGTTCGGGGGATTAGGGCAAAAATAAGCAAGAATTGCGTTGAACGCACAAAATCTTAATTAAGGAAGTTCCAGCTTCCAACTTCCAAGTGGGCAAGTGTCAGCCAGGCGGACAGATGGGCAGACAGACGGACGGAGAGACATCCTTTTTTTTATATACGGCCATTTCTGCCAGTAAAGCAGAAAAACTGGACTACAATGAAGGCGGCCCATTGTCAAATTTAATGAAGGTTTTCTCTTGCTTATGACATGCGCAGCTGGCCAAGATTTACTTGCGAAAACTTTTCAGTTGCGTGCGAGCAGAAAATTGTCGCCAGGCAGCCACAACAGCAGCTCAAATGAGTTAATTCGATATTTGACACTTTTTGGGTCGCATTCCGGGCGCCAGTACAACAAAACGGGGGAAAGTTAATAAAGAGACGCTGTCCGGCCTATAATTATTTGCCTGCTAAATGGTTGTAGCTTGGCCATCAAGTGGGGCAGTGGCAGAGCGATTTGGCCAAGTTATGCGAAAATAAGTTGCCTTGGCCGCATAACGGCACATGGCCAGAAATGTAAAACAATCCCGAGCAAAAACATCAGACAGACAACATGAACACACAATAATTAAACTTAATGGCGCTGTACATATAAATAAACAACAGGAAAAACATGAAAAACAAAGGCAAGCAGAATGAGAAAAACAAATTTTGCAATATTAAATATGCATATAAAATATTCTGTGTTTAAATAAATACTAAGATAAAGAGAAAATACAATAAAAAAAAATAAATAAAATAAATAAAAACAGCGCAGATTTGCATTTAGTTTTGCGCATTTTACAAAACCACAAAAACTAATTGCCAAATATTTGATGTAGCCGTAAAAACACATAAATATATAACACACAATCTATAATATATAAATACATACATAAATATTTATGTATATATAAACAGTGAGAAAATATGACAAGAGTTCTAGCTTAGAAAAAAAAAGGAATATTAAACAAATAATTCTATTTACACAGTTTCAATATTTATTCAGTTTAGACAAACGCCACGCCCATCACATGGCCATGTGTGTGTGCGTATTTTGTAAATAAGTAGTTGACCGCAGCTAATTATAAATATTATTATTATTATTATTATGATTATTATTGTGTAGTATTAGCTCTTCGAAAATTGAAACGTTTGCCAACACTGGTGCGAGGCGTTCTTAGATCAAATCAAATCAATAACAGTTTAAACAAATTAAAAAAAAAAAAACAAAAAGAAAATTAAGTAAATTATTTCAAGAATTTAAAACCGAAATATAAGTATTTAATGTATTATGAAATTAGCTTTAAGTGTGAGAAAATTTGCAGCAAAGTCGAGGCAACTAGAACACTGCATGAGTGCGTGCTTCTCAACACTGGCAATTTTCGAAACGGCAGACAACTGTGAAATGCGAAATAAAAATTGAAAATTATTTAATTTAAAAAAATATATACATGAATTTTATTTTATTTAGGGGAAAAGTGAAGAGGAATAAATGGGTAAAGGTGGATAGTCAATCGAATACCTGATTATTATTATTTAACGGGCAGATAGCGCTCATGATCTTAAAGACCTGAAGCTTCATAACTTTTGGAGTTCAAGAAGTGCGTTTTGGCGCAACAGATAAATCACTCCTAAAAAAAACTCTTCTTCATAATCAAATATTCTTTATAATGAAATTAAGAAATCATTGTGCGTCTGTCTATATATAAGATCTTTTTCTCCAACTTTTAACTTTTCTTTTGAGTTAAGCTCATTCACTCTAAATGCATTCATTAGCAGAAGCAAAAATGTTTTCTATATTCAAAATATTTATATAACATGTGCACTTTAAGCTGTCCAATACAATTTCCAGTTTCATAAATTACATCAAACTGCTCAAGTGCGCTACTTGAATGTATTTGAAAGACGCAAAATAGTTTACTCAAAGTTCTAGCATTCAATTATGTTCAATTGACAGCACAAATTAACATTTTGAGTGGTTCAAGGAGAAGCAACAACTGACAGAGAACCAAAGATTAGAGCAAATGCACAAGGGCAATAAAAATAAATGTTAAATTAGTGAGGCATGAGACAGTTGGACAAACGAAATGTGCATAAAAGCTGAACGAAAAGGCCAATAATGGTATAAGCACACATGTGGCTACATATACATACCTATATACATGTATATATATATAAATAATCATTGGTTAACTCAGGTCAAAAGCAAAACAACACGATGAACAATTTTATTTCAAATCCAATTATTTCGCATCGAACTGCAATCAAATGATTGCGTTCAGCAACAGGAAACACGCAGCGCTGTGTGTATGTGTGTGTGTGTGTTTATGTTATGTATGTATGTGTGTGTGTGTAAATTGCTGCGCTCGACAAACGATGCTGTGAAAATTGCCGACAAAATGAAAGTCAATTGGTTTTTTTTTGTTTTTTGTTCTCGGTTCGCCTTCTGCTTGTTCCTTTTGCTCTTGTTCTTGGCCGGGCCACAACACGTCAAGAATATGTGTACGTGTGTGTGTGTGTGACTGTGTCTGGTCAGAGCTGTAAGGCATTCAATATTGCAGCATCAACGAACGCGACATTCAATATTATTAAAATTCACATCCATTTACGGCCCGTCGGAGGACAGCAAATGTCAAACAAAATATGCTCAACGGTTGCGCATAAAAAGGTTAATGAGAATATAACAAACGCAAACAGGAAAGAAGAAGAAGAAGGCTAATAAAAATAAGATGACACAAGACAAATATGTGAGCTTAGGGAGCTCGAAGTGGACAACTCAATTCGTTTGCAGAAATTTGCTTCACTTGAGTTCAAGAAATATTATTAAGGAAATACAAATATATATATTTCTGAAATATTTACTAAAAATATTTAGCAAACCTGAAAAGGCTA